CCAAGGATTAAAATTCTAAGGTGTGAATCCACCCTTGTCTTTAAATTGACAAAGAGTGTTAATTAAGACAGACTTCATCCTTTGTACTCCAAGTGATACATTGTTCCAAATCGTCCTAGCGTATGTAGTTTTCAACTAGCTCTATCTCATTGCTGTACAACTGAATAAATGCGTGTTCACCATTAGAACATTGCACACTGGTATACCGTCTACAGCTTGATGTATCTACAGTCTATCTGGTGAGATTTAAAGATCCTATACTGTTTGTGGCAGTTTTCCCCCACAAGAGTAATACTACACTAGATATGACGGGATAATAGAGTAGTACTACACTAGATACGACGGGATAATAGAGTAGTACTACACTACATACGACGGGATAATAGAGTAGTACTACACTAGATACGACGGGATAATAGATTAGTACTACACTAGATACGACGGAATAATGTAGTAGTACTACACTAGATACGACGGGATAATATAGTAGTACAACACTAGATACGGTACGGGGGCCACCAACGGTATTAGATATACAGTATAATATACTACGGTGGTAGGATGTGTTTTTCGACTGCCGATGCATCTTTGTACTCTGCTGTATTTGTTCACGCAGTTTGGATACAACTAAAAGTTACAATTGCTAACATTGCAAACCTTTTTCTCAAAAATAGTGAGATTGTAGCATATACAGATTTGAATAAATTTTCTATTCATATTTTGCACTGCACCACGGGAAAAGGTATTTGGATATTTTGGTGCTGCCACGCAACTCCAAGATCAATTAGCGAGAGTAAAAAGAAAACTACCAAACTATGTTGTTGGCCACATTTACGCAACATGCAAGATGGGGTTGCTGTTGGCAACTTGAACAACATACATACAGATAACAGTAACACATATCAGTCAATACCAAAAATATTTTATATCTAGAACATTCTTGGTTCATGTTTGTATAGCCCCTAGTTTATATAACTTATATTCATATCTTAAATCATTGATAATATGCTTTGTTTGCAGGGTTATCAAAATTAAAAGGTGAACAACTTTAATTCTTAGTTTCGATCGCGAATTACAAGCACTTGTTGTGAACAAATAAAATCCGTAGCCCAAGGGTTTGCAAATTTGAAGAATGGAGGGGGTATTTTTGTTGGTGATTCTGTAGTGAATAATGTGTATGATGATTGTGGTTCTCCTGTAAAAACTACTGTATAGAGATCTCGTTAAAAATACCACATGTAGATATAATTGTTGTGATTCCATAGAAAATACTATGTGTATGATAATAGTAGTAGTAGAATATAGGGTGAAGCACCCATTGTATGAATGTTTGAATTGAATGCTTTTAAATGGGAGGCATGGACAGCCATTAAACAGATAATTAGGGATATCCATTGGACATGTAGTGGGGTAAATAAGGAAAGTGTTGCAGGACACTAATTGAATTTACCTGTATAATGGAGTGCCCATTAAATGTGTTGTGAGGCACTAGTTAAAATATGATGGGGTACTCATCAAATTCTGTATTAGACACCTCTCCTATCCAGTACTCATTCTACAAAACATTTACATGCAATGATGACACAATTTATTTATGCAAATGTATTATAAATTATATATTCTCTTAAGTATTGCAAATAGATGCATTACTGCACTAGACGTAGGAAAGCACAAAAAGTGATGAATATTCAGATTTTACAAATTTGATTTTTATATGCTCTATGGTGCTATAAAGAGAGTAGAGAATGGATGACATACAAGCATGGATACTCTATACATAATTCACTACAAACACTTATTTTATTCAGTGTTTAACAGGCATGCATGAAGTGACATTTCTCATGTTTTCACAGAAATATTGACTTCAAGATTCAACTTGGAATAAGCATACCCACATCACCATAACAACAACACTATTGTAATAAAGAACCACAAACACAAATGTATATAAAAGCATTGATACAAACAGTACAATGACCAATATTTAAAATATACCTTTAAGTTATTAATTTATAGTAGCTGCTATATACAATATTATTCTCAGTTCTTTTACTGTAGTGTGATACAGAAAGTCTCTTTTTAAAAAAAATATTTCTGGTTAAACTGTTTGTTTGTTTTCTTAAAATATATGATGGCACATAAATTTTGCAGGTTTAATTAATTTGTCAAAGTAGAGAATAAAATGAAATAAAGATGACCAGAAACATTTAATAGTATTGACTTCCAGGTTGTTGTTGTTGTTGTTGATGAGATTGTCGCTGTTGTTGTTGCTGCTGCTGCACAATGTAATTCGATGGATGGCCATGACGTGGACTTTGGTAACCAGTCTATAAAAAAATATAAATATGTGATTAAAATAAATCAAAGGCACAATGTATTTGAGAGCTTACGGGTCTTTTCAAAGTGGGAAAGGCTTTATCTTTGTTATTAAATTTTACCAAATATTGTAGCATAAAATACTTTAAATATCGTACCAACTTTGAATAACTAGTTTTAAACGAGCAGCCTGTCGGCTGAGATAGCTCCGCTGTTAGCAATGTACATTTCAATTAAAGAACAGAAGATATCATTAGAAAATGAACAATATGCATAGTATCAATGCAATGGGACTTGTTGTTTTCAACAAGAATTCAAAAATATAATTTTTCATCATAAATGACATAAATAATCATCAAAACAAGTCATTGAAAATGACACAGTTCACGTTAAATTTTTGAAAGTTGTCTTTGTGCTGGTCATATTAAAGCGGAGGGGTTGTCGTGAGCGTGTCCTTGAAACTTGAGTTCCAAGTGGCGAATACAACAGATTGTCTATTTACATCAAAACACGTGTTCCGAGTAGTAGTATTATGGCCAAAAATAAAAACAGCCGTTGATCTGATAATGAAACACACTGATATGTATGATGTATGTGCCAAATACGAATGAAAATGGTACATAAATTGTGGAAATATAGTAGTAAAGCCAAAAAGTCAGATGGCTGTCAATCGGCCATCCTTGACCAGATTTTGAAACAAATTGTCATGGACATGCATCCTAACATGTATGAAGTACATGCATGTGCCAAATTTGAATGAAAACTGACAGAGCACGTCCAAGATACCGCATAAAAAAACAAAATGCCTGCCAGTCGACCATCTTTGATCCAATTGCGAAATAAATCGTCATGGACATGTATCCGAACATGTATAATCTATGTACCAAGTTTGAATGACAACTGACAAAGCATGTCCAAAATACAACATTTTCAAAAAACAAGATGGCTGCCAGTCGGCCATTTTGAATCGAATCGCTAAACCACTGCATGTGCATGTCAAACAAAAGGTACTAGGCACATGCAAAGAATGAACGGAATCGGTCCACAGGATTCTGAAATATGACTCTGGACGGACGCACAAACGCATGGACGCACGGATGCACTGACGCACGGACGGAGACCGAATTATAAGTCCCCGTTTTCAGACTTCGTTCGAACGGGGACTAATCAGATCTGCAAATATGTTGAAGAGTCAGTGTTGTGTCTGGATAAACTTCCTTGTACAACTGTATTCCTAGTAATACAAGGACACTGTCAATCACAGAACTGTTCCAGTGAAAAACTTCTGATATTTTAGACAATAACAGGGCAATGATGCTGTTTGTCATACAAGTACTACCCGGTAGCACCAGATGACTGAGAAACTGCAATGATCCTTGGTGTACAGTACCTGAGACAACTTTACTTCCCATGTACTTCATGTACAGGTCTACATGTAGTTTGTGGCCCTGAATTAGTTTCAATATCTCTAAATAAGGACAAAAGTACTTTTCATATGACAATGATACAAATAAAGTGCAAGAATCCAGAAAAATATTATCACGTTTTTATTATCATACATTAATATTAACAAATCATGTGAAATTGAACTTTTATGTACAGAGAAACACATATTTATGCTTTGGTTGACAGCACTTCTCAAAGAAGAAAAAAAAGACCTGCAAAACTTTATACAATTGTCAGACATGCAGCAAATAGTATGCTTTTGTAATATATGCAGTTCCAGTGGCTTTGCTTTCTGAGAAAAAAATTCTGGCTCTATCTGAAAAAAGAAAGAAAGAACATTTAGTCCAAAGTAAGCAGAGGTTGTAGCATATGTGCTCCCATTAGCTGTTAAATTTAATTAAAAAAGATATTAGTGTACAGTCTTTTCAGTACAAAAACTCAGGGTTCTTCCCAGGGCTTTTCAGCGCCGGGGGCCGCGGGGCTTTACTTTGGACCTCGGCGATATCTGTTCCCACCTCGGCGCTTGATTTCATATTTGACATGCCAATATCAGATGTGCAAAAGCTTTGTTCGGCCCAGACCGGCACTCAGAATTAGTGATCACCACGGAAACGCTTCCTACCAGGACTATTGTCCGATTGTTATTATAATTACGTACCGACCGACACGCATCCTGCCAGTCGTGGATTATAATTTGTAAACAATAGACCTGGTCGCACGATACCTGCAGCTAGTCAAATTTGTGAAATTAGCACCTCTCTGTTTGTAAGTAAATACTTTCTGCGATATACAGTCTTTAGATTGAAGGCTAAAATTCTTTCAAAATCAATTCCACCTCGATATACCAGGGTCAAAGCGGAGTTCACGATCAGTTTACGCTACTCAGAAAAAAACGTGTTTATTGCGTGATTTGGTAAAATACATTTGAACTGTCATCATCTCGAATCATGTAAAAACTCTTCTTTCAAGACCCTATTTTACCTTTTAAAAATTGCAAATCACCTCTTTCGAAAGCCATCATGCAGTTTTCAATTGAAATCGATGCCAACACATCGTGCTACGACATCGCTAACTTCCACAATGTAATTTTTATGTTCACTGCCATTCGGGAAAACGTCGGATTCTACTGGCATTACCATGCGGCATTTTGATTGGTTAATGGCATTCTTGACCCATCGGGTCAAAGGACACGTGCTAATGTTTCACAAACATCATGGCGGGTCTGTTTTTTTAACCGAAGTGATCGAGTGATCAAAAATAAAGACGCTCCCGATAAAAATAATCAGATTTTACTTACATTTCATATCAAAAAAAAAGAAGTAACATTTTTTTGAGGAATTATTGCTATAACCGGTGTATAACATCGCCAAGTAAGTTATGTCACGTCGTAACTTTGATGATCGTTTTGAAGTTTTATTTGTGCGCTCATTACTGCAAATGTAAACGTTTTAGAAGTTGATGGTACGAATAATAAATTACAACAATACGCCAATCAATTACGTGATCGATTTTTTGAAAAAGAATGTTTTTGGAGTGAATATAATTATGAGATTCGTGAACATAACTCTGGCTTAACGTTTTGAATGCGTTTCATTCAACGTTTTACAATAGACAATTAAATTGCAATAATAATTTATTTGTGTTTGTTTTTAGTCTGCAGCATTTGTATTTCGAGAATGTTTCAAACTCTTCTAAACATAATGTGTTGATTCCATTAAAAAAATATTTGCTCTGAGCTGACTGAGCTCACTAATATTCATAATTGTAAATGAGTTCTGTTAATCAATGAAGGAAATGTATGTAAATGATATGCAAATTAATATGCAAATTAGCTGCGGCGTTATGCATTTTTTCTGGGGAGAACCCTGAAACCTATTACTTAATATATTTAAACCAGCCAGAAAGAAATTGCAGTTTACACTGTGCAATTAGGAATATAAATGGACAACAATTGATGCATGTCTAGCAATATACTGTTTGAAAGGCTGCAAGATGTAATGAAATAGCAAACCAATCACTACTTGAGTCGGACTGGCTGGGAAACTGCACAATACATACAAAAATGTATGCAAATGATATATGAGCAGCTCCACCAAATATAAAAATATTCTTTCTATAGTTATGACTTTATTACGAATGTGATTTTCCACTCCTTAGCAATAGTAGAAATGGTCGTCAGTATCGATCAAGTTCATCTAGTGTGACCTTCGTGGCTGGCGAAAAGCAAGATGTCGTATAATCTTTTAAATAGGCGTCAAGGAGGAGTGAAAGGCCTTAATTTGGTTCTACAATGGGCGTCATGAAATGTTGGAAAATTACAGTCAATCAAAAAAACTGTTCACATGACAACAAAAAATACTCACTATATTTAATATGCATTATTTTTTTAATTTTGTTGGTAACGAAAAGTATAAAGTACAAGTTTAAAATAAAAACAAACCATTGCTTAGTAGCAAATGATTACGGTACGGTAGCTTACTTGTTTTCAAAGTGTTGCAATTGTTGATTAGTACTCAGTAGTGATTTTATTAACGTACAAAAAATAAATTCGTTGAATTGTTATGAAATGCAAGTAAAATTCAAGTTTCATCGTAAGCGAATGATTTCGGTTACATGTAAACGCTCGATGCGATACGATATCCGCCATGTTATCCATGCACACGAGGCATGTTTATTGACCAGATAGGTCAAGTCGCTAATCAACCAATCAAAATGCTGGATGGTGCCCATGTGCTCAAATTACCATAAAACATTTAAATATGTTAATGACAGTTCAGCGACCTCATGGTGAAATAACACGGAAGAGATTTACCGATGTTTTAGTGCGATTTTTTGGCTTCGTTTTTCATGGGGAAAAGGCATGATTTTTTTTTAATCGGCCCGATTTAGAAAAATAGATGAACGTACCGTCTCAAATAAGAATGTATCGGGTGGAATTTTTCGGGGGAAAAAATAAACGTACCAGTATGTTTATTTGGGACATGAGAGTAGCGTTGTGGGCAAGCTCTCCTGAGTAGCAACATATTTTCAACTTCGACGATGGCGTGATCAGTGGATTACGTAAATAAACCAACACTTTCAATGAGTACATGCCACCCAACTAAACTTGTTTATGGCTGTTTATGAACAGCGAGGACGCATCTCATAGAACAATAGCTGTGGAAATCATAAACAAATGTAAATGTTGCAAAAATCAAGCATGGCGATAATGATTTTGAGCGAGGCAAAGTCTGGCAAGCGTCTCAGAGCAGCATTGCGCCGACACCACCACGACGTTTGAATCCCGGAGAGAGCACTGCAAACCTCTTAAATCACGAGGTAAACTTTCAATTTACTACAACAATAATAGAATGGCAGTTTTTCTGGCGAAGCTCTCGCCAGGTTAGCAAGAGTTTCCCACTATCACCAAACCCAGGACACAAACGATAATACAAAGTGTATAAATACCATAATAAGCACAGTTTCTTACCTTTGAAATTGACGAGACAGAATTTTGTCTATATAAGCGTTGCGCAAATAAAGATACAATTCCGGGATACAATATCCTCACACAAAAATGACTGTGATTTCCACTGAGACGAGAACTGCGCATGCGTTATCAAAACTCGGATTAAACTCGGGTAATTTCGGGAAAAGTCGGATTTTCCAGCAATTTTGAAGGAAAAATGTTAAAAATCAAAGAAAAACACAGTGAAACTTTGAAGAATCGAAAAAATAACTTGATGTGCCTAATAACACCACCAACTCCTGTCTCTGTATCAACTTGAACTGAATTGGATCACACATGTGTGAGAAAAAGCTGGTAACGTGAATGTGCACACACGGAAGCACAGACACGACCCAAATTAATACAGATTTTTGTCACTGCCAGGTAATATATAGTACTGATGTTGTAATAAAGAAAGAACTTACAGCTAGTTGTGGTTGTGCAGGTTGCTGTTTTTGATGGTATATTGGAGAACTTGGTCTTGTTTGTCTGGTGCCAAACCCTCCAACTATACTTGGCTGAAAGATAAATTAAAAATATATTGCATAAAAACAGCAGAAGGGAGGCAGACAAAGCTCTGCTCTTGAGATCAGATTAACCCATAACATCAGACTAAGGGTAGTCACCATTCTTAGTAAATATGTTAGCATTGCTTCTATGGTAACAATAATTTAAAATAACAAGTTTAGGAATTTGGATGTTATACCATATTTATCCGGCAACCCCCCCCCCCCCCACTTTTGACACAATAAAGCAGTTGAGGTCAGGCATACGCCCAGAAGGTCTTTTTCTACACAAAAAATAACAAAAACCTATTTTCTATTCTTTGACTGTGGTTGTATTAACAGTTGACTTTTTTGCAGTCAGTTGTGATGCTTATAAACATAATTGTTAATTGGGTAAAACAAGGTGTGAAATAGCTGTGACAGCAAAATAGGGATTTTCGCTTTCTGCCTTCAGGGCAACGAGTTCACCGCTGATTTACATTTATTTTTCAAGATTTGTTATCAGAATCATAACAGTCAGCTAGTCTATAAAAATGTATATTAAAGCAGAAACTGTAGTTCTCTTTTTGAAATATGTCGTGGTCCTGAAAAGGGCCGGTCGTTTGGTTTGTGCTTTCTTAGAAATGATTCAAGCAACTCGTATAAAGAGCTGCGAAACAAGTGTTGCACTTGGTCGGCAGTAGCGTCATCAATAATTAAACCAATGTTGCAATATTGTAGCAGACCATACTAAGAGAGTGGTTGAAATCACGTTATTTTGGCTTCATAAAATATTTGGTAGCAGCTTGTGAATCCATGACTTGGGCCAGCAATTTTGCAATGTCATGCCAAAGACTGCCAACTTTTTTACCATCTTTCGTCACCGCATTTCTGTCTTCAAAACTATTCTTCTGTCGTTGGATAAAAAAATACTTTCTATTTCAAGCCCACCGCGATATCCATATAGTGAGAAATTCCAACCACCGGAACTTGCTGAATGATTACTTTCACCATGATTGATAAGCGTTGAGTTTGATTAGAAAGCATTGTCACGATTTGACCTCAATGATGAAACACTAGTAGTGATATCATTCTTAGCCAATCAGTAGAGCAGATAAATAAAGGTCAAAGATGATTGCCAGACTGTAAACAAAAGCATCGTGTGCCTTCACAGCAGAGTGGTCCCATTTTTCTTGTCTCTTTATTGTGATTAGACATGAATGAAAAGTGCCAAGCTGATAGACTAAAAGTGCTAAGTCCAAATTGTGTGGGACGATATCGACGAACTTCAGGACAAAGCTGTAGGGATGTTGTTCTACAGCTACAGTGACGCCGACTTAGACCTTGGGGGTTTTGAGTTCGATGAAGATGGCAATGAACATACAAATAAAGATCTGAGAAGTTTTTTTAAACAGTTATGAATTTTTATAATTTTTACTGAGTAAATTTGTAAATTATTATTGATCTTGTATGACAGTTGATCCGTAATTTGTCAAGACCGGAAATCATTTTACGCAGTTTAACCCCTGACATTTTAGTTCATTTTGAGTTCACGCATATTGGGCGAGTTTGTCGACGGGGAAATCCTAATCCAAATGATTCCTCACTGTCAATTTTTATTATTTCTGGTTTATTTGTCACATTATTAGCAATAAATTATTTTTGTTTTACTTCTAATGTTGCATATTGTTCATTTATTTCTGTTGCATGTTTTCATTTGCCGTTCTATTCCCTGCCGCAGTTCGATATGCGTGTTGTCAATTTTCGCAAATTTTCGTTTTTTTTGCAGGGGATATCCGGACAAACGCCCACCCCTATTTTTTGGCAATTTTCCATGTTCAGGACCCTAGGCTCTTACCCAGATAAATACGGTAGACTGTTAGTTTCAAAACATGACTCGCAATGATCATCTAGACCCTAGATGTACACACACAAATAACTTATTTTTTCAAGGTTTTACCAGCATTGCTTATTATTCAGTCATAGTTTGTGCTATGAAATACAAGTAAAGTTTTACAATGAGCATTCACATTTTAACACACTATCTATTTTGTATGAAAATCAGATCTGGCATGTTTTCTTAGGCAGGCAGTCAAAAGCCAATGGCCAATCATAATGTGTGGTAATGTGGACAGTTTCCAATACCTTCCGAATACTTATGATCAAAAACAATGCATTGCAAAAGTGAGTTTTGTTATTACATGAAGTAGGAGTATAACTCGTTAGTGATGTTTTATCTTTATAAAAAAGCAACAGTTTTTTTTAAAGAAGTTCTTTTAAAAGGAAAAACAAATATTGATAGTTGTGAATGTTATAAAAGATAATAGCCGATGAAATATATTGTATAATGATGATGTACCAAGTGGTTTTTAACGTTAAATAAACTGTTTATAAATCCATAACTGTAACTAATTATTCAAAGAAATGTTTTTATCACAATTGAAACAGGTGGTCAAACTTGTTCTGATGACTAAATTTGAATTTTAAATGATAAATAGATCACATCGTCCAGTCTGAAATAATTTTAGAATATCTTTAGATGTTCACCAATCAGCTAAATTGTATTTGACATCAAAACATTAGTCACAAAAGATTTCATGACCATTTAAATAATCAACTCCACTATTCATCAATAAATATGCAAATTAGTTAATATCTTTGTTTTAATTCTGAAATCATAATGATCAATCAAATTATAGACCTTAGGCTCTACGATCAAATAAGTAATTCAACAAACTTTTATATGTTTTTCAGAGATTGTAGATGCGGTATATATGAACAAACACAGCGTCAATGAATTTTGTTAAATTTACTCATTCTGAGGGTTTGTTTTCTGGATGTAATATGAACAACTCATCCTAGTGGAAACACAAAAATATACAACTACAGTACAGTTCTCGCGAAAGCTTTGGCTTTTGTGGCATCATTGTCGCCTACGAATGGCTTCATTGTCGCCTCAGCATCGCATCATTGTGACATCAGCTTCGTGTCATTGAAAATTGAAGCTGTGTTCGCCTCGCTTATTCTGTGGCATCATCGTGGCCTCAGCTTTGCAGTCTCATGGCATCAACATGGCATCAGCTTCAAAGTATTGCGACATGAGTATGACCTCATTATTTTCACACGGAAAGGCAGTAGAGAAAAACACATGTACAGAAGTCTGATATGTAATCGATTTGAAATTCAAGGCGGTAAGGGGAATAAAATAATATGACCAGAAGTAAAATGACATTTTAAAAAGATATCTTGTTTAATTATTTAATGTTGTGAGTATTGGGTACCAAAAACTTTGTACATTGCAATCTGCAAGGTGACGAGTGTCATACATGTATTGACTGCAGGGAAATTTAAATCACACAATGCAATCGTCGTTCGGATACAACGCAATTTGCTATATGAAATGAAATTTTATTTGCTGGTAAGAAAACAGATTCAGATTCCTCATTTCGGTGGTATTTTTCTGTGTTTCATTTAGTTTTAGCAGAGTCCGATCCCATGCCCGGACTACTAATACAAGCAAAACGCACATATGCCGCCTCGTGCATCGGCGTTGTCGCCTGCCATCTTGATACAAAGTTCCAAAACAAGTGCGTACATTTCTAACTATGAGTGGTGTCGGTCTGGTAAAATTTACATCCAATTTTCAAAATTAAGTCATGATCAGTGACCTAAGCTCGACCTATACGTACTTTAAAAGTATTCTCACAAAAAATATTTTTGAATAAAAACGAGCCACATGCCCTGTAAAAAATTGAATAGCACTTGATATGCAGAAATAATTTATTGGGCTTCAGAAAAAAACGTGTCCATTTAGTTGTAGCCGTAAATATTTGGTGACCAGTCGATGAACAATTTGAAACTCATGATACACACGGAAGTCCTTCGATACTGAATATCATCGACCCCAATCTGGTTTACCTTATTTCCCAACTTGCAAAACTGATTTGTATCTCAGCCCAGTTTTTTTTTCTTTTTTTGAACTGAGGTCAAATCCCAGCAGTTTGTCAAAATATACCGATGTTTTTCAGTGAATAATTGTGAAGCCTGTCACAGCACAAACAAACTATGTGAATCGACGCAGGAGATTGGATGGTACAACGACCCTTAAATTAGCGTCAAATATGCTTTGTTACAACATCATTGATTGGCTGAGAGTCACCTGATCGGAGCACACAACCTGGGTCACAGAACCATATTTGTCCGTATTATCAACGGGACTTTGCGAGAGAACCACACCCACACTTTCAACCATTTTTAGCACGGTAGTTGCCAACAAATGTCGAAAACTCGTGAATTTTTTGGATTTGAATAAAATAAAGCTAGCGATTGGTAAGACTGGTTAATAATTTATCTCCCGATGCTCTTCGATTTTTTACAATTTTATTTCAAGGTGAGAAATGGATAATTGAAGTTCCATCGATTTCAGGGCGACTGTTTCACCACGACAACTCTATGTCGTGTTGTAGTTTCGCGAGGTAAAACAAAATTATAATAAATAATACTTGTTTAATTATTTGGTTTTACAGCCCGCAAATTACGGGACATGATCCCCATGAATTACGATAAATAAATGCTGATTGTGTTGAATGACGGTCGTCGGGATCGTTTGGAGAAACCAACGGGGATATTCCAAACAAATTATTGGGACACGGTCGATAGACATTTCAAACAAATGAAATTATTAACGAAAGACGAGATTTTTCCAGATATTTACGAACATACTGTCATACTAAATATATGCAAAATTGACAAATACACAAAGAGATATTACGTTTTATTTTAGCCTTAGAAATATTTTCTTTCACTCAGTCCATGCGTGGGACTTCTATTTAGCTTCATGGTCCTTCGGCTTGTATTCTCCTTCGGGGAAATAACAATAATTATACAAATCGTAAACTCAACAAAGTCAGGAAAAAAAACCCAGACAACCATGTCGTACTTCTGTTGAAATACATTTTGTAGCAGTGCGTCACGTCAGAATAAGTTGTTTAAAATAAAATAGTCAATCCCAGCCAAATCTAGGTCAAAGGGTCAGATTGCGTGCATATAATTATAGATAGTTAAAACAAAAAGTATTTGAACTTTTGACGGTTGTTTAACATCTATGCACGGTTACTAAACTAGTAACCGTGATCTATGAAAACCAGAAAATTGTCCGAATTTTTGCACAGTCGAAAATAAAGCGGAAATTCAACAAGCGGTCGCAAAAGCGAGCGATTGAAAAGCGGAAGCGGACGAGAGGTTGGGCGAAATGAGTTCTGTACTTCTTTGTTTGATGAAGCGATGCTGATGTCACATTGTCGCCATAATGAGGCCACAATGAAGCGAAGCGATGATCGCCTCAACTTTTTATGTCGCGACATTGAAGCAATGCTGAAGCCATAACATTGCCATAATGATGCGATGCTGAAGCGAAGCTGACGCTGAAGTGAAGCCAAAGCTTTCGCGAGAACTGTACTGTATATCTAACTTGCAATTTTCTTCTGTTTTATTCAACATTTTTTTAATAATAAAAAAAAGTGTGGTATTCCTTTAAGTTGAATCATCAATAAAGGATCTAATGCAAGATTATTGGTTAGTGACAATTAATCCATTATGAGCTTTCATAAACATATACCGTACTCGACCGCGTTAGCGCCCAGGGGCCTCAACTCACGATTTTTTAGGGGTGGGCGCTTACCCGAGCAATCCCCTCGAAAAAGAGTGCAAATGAAAAATTTGATTCATCAAGTGACAGATTACGTCTTTGAGGGAAAATCAAATTACGAAATTAGTTGAGTTGTCATTGATTTTCACAAGGAAGAAACAAAAATGATCACAACAAATATGCACATTTTATTACAATATTAATTACGTACCACCAGAATTTATGAAATTAAAAACATTTGAGTCTGTTGGAACACAGTCGAAGTCAAAATTGTCATATTATCTCCACTGACGAAGGTGTTGGATCGTACGCAAACTCTCGATGAAAATCACTTTACGCCATGATGCATTTGCATTTGACCTGCAGCAGCATCCTTTGACCTAATGGGTCAAGTTGGTTATTTACCAATCAGAATGCTGTGTTGCACTGACGCAATCCTTCGGAAATTCTCGAAGACTTTCCGGTAACGCAATGCGGAAGTGAATTATCGATATCGAAGTACGATCTGTTGGAATTTATTTCAGTGAATAAACGACATGGTTTTTCCAAAAAACTAGTAACTAGCCATTTTTGAGAGGTAAACTGAATATGGCATGAAATATTTACCGCATTTTACTTGTATTAACAGATCATTGTCGAAGCGTAGTTTACACACGGTTACCGTGTTCTACGCATTCACAACATGTTCACAGCGGTCGATATCCACGCTGTATCATATAAAAACGATTACCAAGATTCGTTACGCAAGACCAAGTTTTAAATTAATTGCATTTTGAAGGGGTGGGCGCTTTGCCGAATGTGACCCCAAATATAAAAAGTGCGCAAAAGTGGGGGTGGGCGCTTGCCCTGGCATGGGCGCTAACGCGGTCGAGTACGGTAGTTTGATATGGTTGAAAATAATTTGCATTAAAATAATTTGCATGGATACATTATTATTACAGTGTTATGTAAATTAGCCACTGCAATAAGTTATAAAACAGTATCACTCACTTTATTTAGATGCAATTGTTGCTGTGATAGCAATGACTGCCGTGGCTGCGGTGGCTGCTGTGGTGGCTGAGTATGAATAGTTTGGTGGTGTGGCTGTGTATTCATTGTAGGTCTGATATGACTCTGTGGCTGACCTCCTCTTCTCTCCTGCTGCTGCTGCAGCTGATGATGATGATGATGATGGTTGTTGTTGTTGTTGCTGCTGCTGCTGAGAATATCATACAAAATAAATCATTGTCAATGGTCAATGAAATATACCATATAACTCCATTTTCATTTTATAGTTCAAAATATTGGTTTCAGTTCAACAAGATAGAAAACACTTGTTCTGCTGTATTTATATAATACAAGCAGCCTCTCTGGCACATTTCAATTAGAGATTTAAAGTTATCATCACGAAATAAACATATCAACAAAAGATCTATCAAAGATAAATATATAAAAAGTATCAAAGCAATCAGACATGTGGTTTCAAGAAAAAGTTGAACAAGCAGCCTCTTGGGTGAGATAGCTTTGCTGTTAGCAATGCACATTTCAATTATAGAACTGAAGATATTAGAAAATGAATAAATCTAAGTGAGGTCTACTCAAGATACATACACACCAAGTATCAAAGCATTCAGGCTTGTAGTTTTCAAGAAGAAGTCTAAAAAGTAAAAAGTTGACATGGACGACGACGGACAATCACTCATATCAGCTAAGTTGACAGCGGAGCTAAAAAGGGGTTTACATACCAATTTGAAAATATATTGAAGTTTTAATAGTTTGCAGTATAATAAGGCATAGGATACAAGAGAGTTCTTGCATTCTCTGTATGCATATCAAGAAATATCTTTTGTTATAAATATTATAACAAATAAATAAGTAGAAAATTTAAATAATAGTGCATTTTTATTCAAAAAATGGGGTCAGGTTAAACAGAAAATGGTGAAATATTTGGGCACATAAATGTGCAATCAGTGAATACATTGATCAACCTTAAGACATGGCAGCCAGCAGCACAAGTTAGTCTAACATTGGTGATAGTAAAGCATTGTCACTGTGGCCTTACCTGCTGTAACTTGAAATGACCCTGTTCTTCCGTAAATCCTGACTGCTGGTTAGCATGTTCTAACTGTTGTTGCATTGACATACTAGAATTATGCTGTCCACTTTGTACATAGCCTAAAACACAATGAAAAACTGGTCAGTATTCAATGAAATGTATTACTGTTTTTTCAATCAAGCACAATGCCTTGTTATCCAATCAAACGTCACTATTCACACACTTGTCCTCGTCAATTTAGAAAAACTCGGTGATGATCGACATAGGTGTAGATAGTTCCATGGAAATAGAAGTCAACACTTAGACTGACTACCATACAAGTAATTGTGTAGTCCAGACCAACCCTGTAGTAGTCCGTAGTAGTCTAACTTCTTACCAACTCGAATGTTGTCCAGTGCCGGGGGTGCAGCGACAGTGTACAAACGTGCAGTGGTGACGATGACGATCATGGTGACCAGCTACGCCAGAATATACACGTATCTAACATCTAACTTAACCCTATGCAACAAACTTGATATTATGTGTTCATTATGGTTCATTCTTCCTCGAAAACAAGAACATAAGTGGCAAGATGAGAAAACTGTTCAAGAAATGTGCCTTCTATACACGTATCGGCAATGCAAGCTGCCCAGCAGCAAGTGGAATTTCTGTATGCAAATAAGAAGCTACTGAAGAGCCTCGTTTTAAAATACACAAAAATAAAGTTGCCGTTGACTGAGTTTGAAACACATTTTTTTCACTTGAAAAAAATATGTTATGTTTAGAAACATAAAAATTAATAATATTGATGTACCAATGAATAATGCAGCCATTTCCCAGGCACTTTAAACAAGCATGTGGTAGTGATTGATGAAATACAAATCAAATTTCAAGTGCATTCTTACGTTGTGGTGGTGGTTGCTGCTGCTGCTG